TTTCAAAAATAGTTAAAATCAAGTAGATCTATAAATATCACATCTCAATGTCGAGATGATCGATTAGAAGGTTTTTTCAACATTAAAACAACATTTCCGATAGATTTTTGCAGTGCATATGTGATTCTACATTTTAAGGTTGCAATCTTATATAAACTTTTCCCATATATATATATATATATAAAAAAAAAAAATTGATTGTTTGTCCAAAACCTTGCCAGTCATTCGATAAGCCCCTGACTAGTCAACTTGAAATGTTTATCATTCCTAATTTCCTTTCAGAAAGAGTAAGTAAATAAATGCATGAAATTGCTTTATTTTATAAACTGCAAAATTCCAATACTTCCTCAAACAGATGTTGAGTATAGTTGACAACAGTTAATCTGAAACTAGCACAACATGAACAGAAAACAAGACCTGAGACAAAAACATCTGAGTCAGAATACAAAAATATTGCATGTTTACATGAAAGTTGTAGATGCCTTTCCCATTTCGCATGGGAAGGTGATTTGGTTACTCTTTCTTTAATAACTTTTGTATTTGATAGAACTTACCTGAAGCACTGATCCATAGCTTGACATCTCTCTGAACTGATTCACGCATGCCATTTGACAAAAGCTTCCAAAACAAGAGTCACATTGGTGATCTCATTCATAGCTAAAAGTAATAATAATAAACAGCTCAAAGCATAAACGTGCCTTACCTTGTGAAAGAAAGGGCTTTTCAGAGCCAATATTGCGGAATTGATGTATAACATCTTAACCCTCAGAACAGTGGAAGAATCTTTGCTCCAAGTTGGAACATCATCATCAGCTACCTCATCATCATCATTTGCTACCTCACCTCCTATAATGTAAAATAATGTTGACAGCAAATAATATAGACAATAATAATGCGAGAAAAGTTTGATTCACAACACGAAAATAAATCTACAAAGAAAGAAGAAAGAAAAGTAAAAATTTGGGACAAGTGCCCTATAATCTCCACGGGGATCATCAGAACACGCTCCAAGTTAAGCCCTTTTTTTTCTGCACCATGACAACGAATCTGCATCTTTTTCAAAATCCTTCTACTGCAATTTCACAAACTTCACTTATTTCAATTTGTGGTTTGTGGGAGTTTGGCTGCCCTTGAACATGCATGACCAAATTCGAAACCACATAATGATTTAAGCAATAATTTTTCCTGACAAAGAGTCCAAAAGTCATCAAAAAAGAAAATTCATCTTCAAAATGAACGCAAACAACAAATGAGTAAGAGAGAGATCAATGAAACAAACCATCTTCCCATCCAATGCAACCAAACCAGAGAGAGATATAGAGAGAGTGAGGGAGGGAGGGAGGGAGGGAGGGAGGGAAGGGGGAAGGGGGGGGGGGGGGGGGGAGGGAGAGAGGGAGGGAGGGGGGGAAGGGGAGAGAGAGAGAGAGATAAAAACAGAAACCCCATCTTCCCATAAAAAAGAAGGATTAGATGATGACAGCTTTCATCCCATAAAAAGCATGGATGGAGCAAGCTGAAATATAGTAAGAAATAAAAGTAAAACAAAAAAAAAGTTTAATGTCAACAAGCTGACAGATAATGAAATGATTGAGCCACTTACGACACAAGTAATGCAGTAGACAACCACCAAGTGCAACAATTGAGAAGCGACTGTTGAAGAAAAGGCCTAACCCTGAAAGACAAATACTGAAATTACTCTTTATGCACACAGACCGATGAAATCGAACACGTCCAAAGCCAATGCCTTAATTGTTGTTTCTTATTAAGGTTACAACAAATGATCAGAAAACCTTATCAGCAACTCCTTCACAAAACATCTTGTGGAAGGAGCAATGTAATGAATAATGAGTGATTACTAAAAAACTGACAAAGTCCGGGAAACCAATTACACTGCAAGCAATCACCAAGAGAACACCAGAAAGAAAATGCAAGAAGCGAACGAGATAACCGTAGAATTGAAAGACTCAAAGAATAGAATACACCCAAAGAAAATACGTCTCAATAAAGGAATTCAAGTAGAGGCTCAAAAGCAACACTAGTAGAAGTTAAAATGTTTCAGGTGGATATTCCAATCTGACCAGAAAATACACCCTACAACATAAGAAACCCCTCAAGCACGCACGCACGCACACACACACACATATATAGGGTGCGGTTTGTATAGAGCCTAGGATCTAAACAATCAAATTAGAGCCTACCTTCAAATAGTATCAAGAAATGTGGTTTCAATATTGAAAATCTTTGTGATAGACTTAAAATATCTTTTTATATTTATTTATAAAGTTTAAAGCTTCAAAAATAGTATAGATCGACAGATCTATGAAAACTTGAAAATTGACGGTCCAAAAATGCGTTACAAAATACACTATTTCCAAAACTTGAATCCAGGTTTTCCTTGTGTCCATGCTTCTTGATGTCAAGATGATCAATTTGAAGATATTTGAGCATCAAAACAACCTCTTCTAGTGAAATTTTTGAGGTAGGCTCAAATTTGATTATTTATAGCTTCGGCTCTATATAAACTTTTACCATATATATATATATATATATATATATATAGTA